ACGGCAGAAGCCTCTAAACCACGTTTGTGGTTTGGGATTTCTGGCCCAATAGCAGATGAAATCAAAGGTTAGCACACAGTGGTCGCTATGTCCCAGTGGAGCGTTAATGGTTACCTGATCAACGAAGTGTCTTTCGTTGGTGATGACCAAATCCAAGAGGGATGGTTGTTGGCCTGCGCGGTATCTGGTGGGTGCAGCGACGTGTTGGGTCCAAGCGCTCTGTTGAACGACTTCCAACAGCGCCGCTGCAAAAGGTCCGCCTGATTCGCGCCGTTAGTCACACAGTGCTCTCAGCAGCAAAACCCTTGCGTGTGAGGTAAAACTTCTTGCACCACAATGTTGAATTTTATCGCATACGTACACGAACCAAAAACCATTTTATTATACTTCCATATTTTAGCGGCTCACCGCCGAGGCAATCGTACATTTAGCGAAAAGCCTGGCGGAATACTTTGCCATAATCGCTGAGACCCTGGGATGCCTAGATTGAGCTCAGCTGCTCGCCTGTTTTAATTCTTCAGGGTCACGTCTTATCTTTCGAAAATTCAATTCCATTGTGCGAATACCGAGAGCCTTTGCTGCTCCTGTTTGTCAAACGCCGAGGTTAACACACTTCATTGCCACCAGTGTGAATACAGGTATTGGATCTGTGTAACAGGCAATGCCCGTTACGTGTTTTCTTTCCACTTACTTGGTGACCGATGTATGTGTGAGTGGCTTTGTGTTAAGCCACTGGCTTTAAAGCCTTTAGGCTACATTATTTCCTGTTACCTATCCAAAGGGCAGAGGTCCGGGCGAAAAATCGAACTTCCGAGCTAGTAACATGCGATTCCGTACGGTGAAACTTCCTCTGTGATTGGTATGCAAAACCGGCTTACCTGGATCAGTTAAATTCGTTTTAGGTACGCACCATAATGAATCTTTTGCTTGTAATCCTTCTGGGTGACTATGTCATGGGCCACACATTTATGGGTGGTGTTGCACTCAGGTTTATCGGATGGGTAGCATATCCTTTGGTCATTGCCACGTAACTTCCAATCATCCTTTTGGTCCGTGTTGGAGAATATTCCAGAAAAGCATTTGTACCAACATGCTGGTCACCATTTAACCAGTCCCTCATATTGACAGTTGGCGTTCCGGCAGTGAAACGTCTGATGTGGATCACCCGGTGTGTCAAAAGGAGGCTCACGAAAGGTGAAATATTATCACGACTACATTCTACTCCCCGTTTGTAGTCCTACACGGAGTTGCTTCTGATGTCACGTGTGATCCGACCCGGCAGCATCCAATACCTCCCTCATTAACGGCAAAACTACCTCGGCCGATTGCCTTCTGTTTCAACCTTCATTTTCCAACTCCTTATATTGAGATTTTCCGCGCCCTCAATTAGCTGAACTTGTTCCACTTCCTTTGCTTATTCACCGAACAATGCACCACTAGACCCTTTTAGTGGTGACGGTTTCCAATCCAATTTTACGAATTTGCACCCATCCACCGTAAATACATTTGAGGCCTCAACTCTCATCAAGCCGTTATCTTGGTCCGCTGAACTTGTCGTGAACGCCCCCAGAGAATTTGCTGTTAGGCTTCAACCGAGTGTATAATAGGATGGCTAGATTAGGAAAGAAATGCCTATGTTCCTGCAGAGTCGAATTCCATTTTGCATCAGTCCATGCACTCACCTAGGGCTAAACCCGTCCAATTTGATCCTCCTCCATATTCTTCACTCACCCTCGATGGTGAAGTAACCCGCTTTCCTCCATTTTTACGCTTACCCTTGATTTTTCGCTTCCGTACGGTCCTGACCACCGTCATTCACTATTAGCCCACACTGCATCCAAGACGCGAAAATAGTTTTAAGATAACGTCACGCGTGGCGGTGTTAAGGTTTCGTCTCCACTTTGAAGAATGCCCACGGATGTGCGTACACTGTCGAGTAACGCTCGATTACAGCTTTTGGAATCTTCTGTGGATGCTCGCCTAGGTGTTCAGTCATCATTACGTCTTGGTATTCTGGGCATAAACTGGCGCACTTTGCCCGCTACCTTACCGAATTCCTGGAGGTGGCCGCTTGATCTAATTGTTATTAATAATGTTGATCTAGAAGGCCTCAGCGTTGTCAAAATCAGGAGGATTGTTTGTCCTGTATTTGAGTGCGGATGCCCCCTTTTTCTCTACTGGGATCATCCAGTTTTTCATCTTCGATTTGCAATCCCTGACTTAGAAGATATTTCAAATTTACTAAAGCTCACCTGGATGGTGCATTTGAAGCAGCTGAGCTTTAATTTTTGAGCATCCAAAGATATTTCGTAATCTGTGTCTGGGTGTTCCTCAGCCACAGACCCCCACAGTATTGGCGCCGTGTCCCTGAGCATTGCCCCGAAACGTTATACAGCTATTGGTTGCGTTTGGATTGCACCGGCTCGCTTGCACGGATTTTTATATGCCATCATGTGACGTGCAGCATATCCAATTTTCAATGTCTGCCTGAGTGTCCAGCGATTCCAGCATATTGAAACTGGTGTTAGTCGTGCTGCTCACGTTCACCGTGTGACCGTGAATATTCCCCACCGAAGGCAAATGCACGGCTGGGAAAAATAGTATTATGACTTGAGTTAGATGAAGCTACAAACAGCGGTGTTTGATATGTTAAGCAGGTAAATGCTGCTAATGATCTCTAGCCAACGTCCGTGCAACTTACCTCAGACACTGTTGATGCCTGCACTTCGTTGCATTCGAGTTAGGATGCTCCTCTGATTAGACGGCTTTTATGCTTTTTGTCTCCGTGGCCATTTACGCACCTTATGATGATAATGCAACGTTTCCTTCATCTAATGCCCTGTTTTATGCAAGTGCACCAGGTGTGTGCTTGTGCATAACCACCAACATGTTTGTGTAGGTACCTCGGTTGCTAGCACAGGTATTTGGGGTAGATATGTTGTGACCAGCAGGTGACAGTGTGGCGTGTCTTTCCTTTTGATTTCAGTCTAAGTGAGATTTACTTATCACATCCACAAAGAAGATTCTTTGCCCTGAGGCTTGAGTGGATGGTTTGGTTACATAATCTGAGCCAACGACGGTGTCTCTGTAACCACCGCTACCACAAAATTCTATGATGGTGTACCTTGCGCCACACAATAATAAGAACAGTTGTGGTGCTTTGGAGCATGCAGAAAAGATATAAGGCTGCTTCTACGTAGATGTCACTCTTTCGCATTTGATGTTGGCCGAAGCGTGTGTGCAGCACATAGACCGTAGTATATTTTTACGAAGAAGCGACACTCAGTCGACTCCAAAGCCGGGAGATTTTCTGGTAGGGGGCAGGTTTAATAATTTTCCTGCCACCATACACAGCCTCAGTAGCAAACATATTTCGCCCTTCCATTTTGGCCGAGCGCGGTTGGTAAACTGAACTAAAACTTTGGAAACCAGCTTCGCTATAGCCATCGCCAGCTCGCAGGAGGCTAGTTTAAGGTGTTTTGCGTGACTCGGATCACATTGTTTAGGCAGGACCCGGCGATTATCCCCTATGACATCGGTGCGTCATTCTTGCAATACCGGCAGAATAGCACTGAAGCATAAACGCCACATCTTATTTCGGATCTGCGGTACGGCCCAGCTTACGCTGAAGTCAGGAATAATGGGCAATTTTTACTTGTTAGGGAAGCTACTCGTGGCCGGAAATCTGGTCACAATAGCTGTCTCAGCTTTAGTGCTTGCGGTTAGTTTTTGAACTTAGTGCAAATGACTCCATGCTTGGAAAGCATCCCAAACACAGCGCCAACAGTACCCTCAACGTGCACCCCAGAGTAGTGTGCCAGTGCGATAGAAGCAACAGGCATTGTCAGACTGGGTTTTACGTGAATACCTACAGGTAGTTAGTGTGCTCCGCTTCGATATTTGATAAAAAGGTTGAGCGTAATATGAGACACCCGTCTGCGTTTACCACTTGCAAGTGATAAACTACGTTATAGGAAGATTGTTACACAAAGATAAACATTTAACAGGGCAGCGAAGAAATGAAAGTTAAAAATTGACATACACTGCCAGATGGAAGTTTTTGTGTGCATGAGAGTTTCTGATTTATGCTTGTTTCAGTTGCTTGGAATAACCCAATCAACCTCAACCAAACCTGAGAAAGCAATCTAAAAATTTTGATCAAATTTTAATCATAAAACCTGTTTCACTCGCAACGCTGGTTGTGTAACAACAAAAACGCATTTTTCGGGTTTCAATTATTCATCAGAATTGTGGAGACTTCGTACTGATTGGGCGAATTTTTGATGTAGACTTCAGTCCTATATCTTCCCAGCTGAATCAGGTAGTAATTCACAGCCTGAAACATTCACGGTGACCCAAGTATTTTAACTTATATTAGCTTTCCTCGAGTTTGAAGAACACGAATTCCATACTCGTCCTTTGAACTGTTGGCCCTCACTTACATAGCCATTGTTGTTGGGCGGTGGATAAAATATTCCTGTCACTAATCCCGCGCTACATATTGAATCGAGTTCTTCTTTCGCTATGGATTGCTATTTTGTCCCATGTTTTTATGGCAGTGTTTTTTAGGACCCATGCGTATAGTTGTTCCCTATTGTGCGACCATGGATGTATTGGGCTTCCTCCCTCTCCGCAACATACACACCTAGCTATTCGCATACGTCGTCCTGGATGATTTTATTTGACACATATATTCGTGGTGTTTGATCGGGTTCCCTTGGCCACTCGCCTGCCAAATGCTCCTTCTAGCACAACCCGTCCAACTTTATATTTGTGATATTTCTGCATATCCAAAACTCGACACAACAGAAGTGTTCTTGTACGCCGTTGATATGTGGATGAAATCGCTGAGCGTCCACATTCCCAGACATGCGATTTATTTAGTTCGTACTCTCTAATTCCACGATAAACAGTAGATGAGCCAGCAAAGTAGGTTCTTGGGTCTTCTGTGTAAGCCTTCTCTTCATACAATATTTACACCTTATGCCGACGCTGCAGCTGGCTGCTGCACTGCAGTCTGAACCGACTAAATACTGGTCACGGAAATAATGAGAAATGGCTTAGGGTGGTCACCCCGTTTCTAGATATTCGGTCAAAGAGGCCCAAAATACAATTTTATACCCTTCAACGATAGCTGATCTCATTTGAAATCATCGTTGGCCCCAAAGCGGTCCATTTGACAACATTCGGTTCTCCTTAGACCAGCACAGCAGTTTTTGATGTTCCCTATTGGTTTCGTAAGGTTTAGAGTCCAGTGGCCACAATTTCCGCATCTAGAGTTGATTAGCCGTGACTTTTTACCTACGGCTTACAGATATTTGGTGATACAGAGCGACGTACTAGCTTATTTGGTATGAAAAATTTAAGATTCGCGATGTATTCTGAGACATGACTTTTATGCCGTTTGCATTCGACTCGCTTTCAGCAGTCCACTTGCTCGTTTTAACCACATGATTATCCGTAGCCGGCCACCGCGTTATAAGTTAGGTCACCAGATGAAACTTTGTTGACACCGACTCAAATGGCGATCGGTATTGGAATACGTACGGGTATTTAATGATCGTTACGGAGCAGGTCTCTTAAGCCGGATATAGGTTACAAACAAGCAGAGAATCACCGAAATTTTTGGCTGTTATCACCGTGAATCTGATGAGCACCTGTGCTGATATAACCTCGCCCTCCTCTTTTGTAGCTTCTGGCTCCATATAAAAGCCCGAGCATTCCAATTAGGAAACCTTAAATGGGTCGCGGCAAGGTAGGATGCCGTGCCAGGAAGCTTGAGGTACCTGAGGACGTTGCGCGTGCACATTGTTGTTGCTAGCCCTTGGAAGTTATTCGTTGCTCTGTGGGTTTTTAGTGTTTGAGTAATGCGGCTAGACATCCGAATAACACGATTGGTCTCCGATGTACTGTTTTATTTCGCATTCATTCATCTGCTAATTAGCAGAAGACTAACGGCAGTCCTCTGGTTGCCATGACCATGTGGCTCCCAAAGGAAGTGAGTACTATGTCAGAGCAAGTATCATTGATTCAAGACAACGGCTGCATCCTGTTGTCATAGTCGTTTAAGAATTCACGCGAAGAAATAGGCGACTGTCACAGGAGTATAAACCTCCACAAAATCTGCCTTACGTTCTGTACCACCCCTGTCCTTCCGACACTTTAACTTTGGATTGACCGTTTCTTACTGTAATTCCGTATGGGCTTCACAGGCACATTTTGTGGCCGTGTCAACCAACTTGACGTATTTACGTGACTGGCTGCCGCTAGCATCTAAGCGTCAACTAAAATTGGAGAACATATGTAACAGCTCATGACTTCCAAAACAGTTAGCGATCTTTCACTATTGCTTTCCGCATTTTGATCTGAATTTCCCCACCAAGCCCCTCGCTGAAATTACTTTCGCGCAAGGTGTCGGTTTCCTGAATGTATACATTCACAGATGATCTTCAGTCAGCACAGCTCCATAAAGGGGTTGAGTGCTTCCTGCATCATTGAAATGTCTCGTTAAGGCACTTGCTAAGTGAAGTTTTGTACCATATTTGAAGTAAGATATGAAGCCTCTGTTTGGGTTTTTTAAAGCACTGTAGGCGCACTCATCCTGTCATGCGGGCTTCTATGCCGGGGATGAAGAAGAAACGGTTGTGAAAATAGCAGCGCTAAAAATTGATATGAAAACTGGAGGGGGAATATTTCCGTGCCCGTTCCTTATTACGGGTGGCGCTCTTCCGATGGGCAAATTTGAGGACGGTTGAAATCGTTTATGGTTACCGTTATCCACCAAACGTCCAACGCCGTAGGTAGCTGGGGTTTTAGTTATATGAAAACGTTTTTCAGTTAAACGATGGAGTCAATGATTTCCAAAAGTCTTCCTGCAGAAAACAGATCATGTGCTCCAGGTTTAAGATGCTTCGGCATTTCAATGCCAGGCGTTTCAAGGTAGGCGATACACGGTGTTTTTTGTGGTCATATGACTACCCCCGATAAATGTGACCAGAGGGATGGCAGGGGCGAAATTTTGTTTGCCTTAATCCATTTGCAGTACCTAATCACTCTGACTTGGGGCGGTTTTTTGCGGGGAATCAGCCACCTTCACCGCTGATTCTGCAAATATTTATTTTAGTAGCGCATTTGAGGGAGCATCTCCGCCGAGGGTTATACTGGTTTTGCTATTAAAGGATCATTCTACCTTCCAAGATGTTGCCGATCAAATGCTTTTTACTTTACGGGTGTAACTTGAGCTGATTTATCGCCAACCACAAATCAAGTTGCAAGGGACTTCTTACCGCGGGATACTATTTTTTAGTTTTTAATTGTGGAATAAATTCTAAGAAGCCCTATTCCAAAGAACAATCAATGAAGCTCAGTTAGGGTTACACCGGCTGTCCAGGATTCCCAACGGCCACATGGGCGGTATTCATACGCAGATCAATTTTGGTTTATTCGCGCACGTTCCGTCATATCAATGCTCTACTTTGAAGGTGATGTCTGAATTTCGTTCTTCGAGTCATAAGGTTACATCTTTACCATGATCATAGCGAAGGCTTGTGTTCCATGCGGTGGCACCCTTCTCTGGAACATAATTTGGTTTTAGCGAGAGAAATAACCGAAAAAAACTGAACGGCCGGGGCGCTTTTGGCAACGTTATTACATAGATTTCGTCCAGGGAACCTCTAGCCTTCCCAAAACATCGATGAATAGATGCGAGCAGACAAAGATTTTAGAAGGAGGACGGAAGGCTTAGTGGCTAATATAAACCGTCTAGCGCTGCTATCGAAGGGGATTATTTAACAGGAAGGTAGCACCGATCCATGCACAACACTGACGCTTTCTGAACTACCATCCTCTACCTCCTTACTGGTTTGAATATGTGGAAACCTTTTGTGCCCATCACACCATTTAACATAACTTCTCTCAGGAAGATTACTGTAAACTTTCAAAGTAGTTGTCAGCTTGTATTTAGCTTGGTATCTCGAAAACATTGCAGTTTCTCATTGGGATTTACGAACCTGTTCTTCGTTTTTGTTATATAGAGTTAGATAAGTCAGTTTCGGGTTTCGTATTACCGACTTGTGATAAGTGATCTTTTTGTGTGGTCCACCTGGAATGTAAAGGTAAAATTTAGTATTTTGGGCCATTTAAATTATGGCTGGACGATTCTCTGAGCTGAGAAATTACGCTGAACACGTTTTAGAATCGACTGATACGATCGTACTGGTCTAGTCTCCTGAAGCTCCAAAAATCCGTAGTTTGCTACTTCCACGTTGAGTGGTGATATGCGGAACTTCATGTACTTGTTTCTGAAGTGATTTGTTCCTCCGTTTCTCCCGGACACTTCGGTGAGCCGTCCTGGTTATCGGACTTCTTGTCACTGCTTGTCTGTGCTTATTCCGCCCAGTATTTCTGAAGCCGACCTTTTGGTTTCACACAATGTGGCTGGTAAGACATTGACACACCGGTTGATCTTGGCATTTTATCCGTGTTTTGATCATTGCACTTGGTCCATCCATTTCGGTCACTAGTTTTGCGCAAACTGGGCGTTATCTGGCAACTGAATTGACTGAATTTGCACCGAAAATCATGGCAATTATACCAGGCAAACAAACTAAAACTCTCGAATCCTTAACACCCTAATAGTCTCCGGGAATACTGCAGGCACACAGGATTTGGTTGGTCCAGAATCAGTAAAGACTGTTATAACCATGCCACTGCCCGGGCGATATCGATACTCCCAATCGCGATATCACCAGGGCGTGCCAGGCATAACCCAAACACTCAAAGTAGTGTGCTGTATCGACCATTTGTTCCAATACACATGTGATTGATCAGAAGACGGGCCGCTTATTTGTGCTACCCAAAGCCAAGCTCCGATTGGCCCGGGGCACTGACCCAGTAGCCAATCGTCGTCCAGTAGCATCTGGATTTTTGCTGCCAGCTCCACTTCCAAAGGCCTCGGGAATTCCATTGTTACGGTTACATACGCATTGAATATTTGGACACTGTAGGTTTGATTTCATCCGATTTGAGTGTTCAGTACATTCAGTGACGGAACGTCCTGTAAAGCGGGCAATCTTAAATTACCTCACTACTTCTCAGTGGAACACGGATTCCTTCCTAACGCAAGAAAGCGTTCTTGCGTGACGAATTGCTTTTGTTTATGGCCAGCATAACCCAAGCTAAGGACAAAGGACTCATATCGCATGCCATATTTCTCAACTTTTTAAAGGCATTCGATTGAGTCCCACAAGTCCCGCTTCGAATTGACATAGCTTCGAGCACTTGCGATCCCTGCAGTACGTTCATTTGAAACTTCCGTAAGAATCATCACAACAGCCGAGCTACGTAAAACTCCACAACCACGAGCAATTCTTAAATAGCAAGGGATATATATCCAGAGGTTGCAAATTCTGAAACACGAACGTGCACTTTGGGTGCAAGTTACATGATGAATGGCGGTACGATGGCGGTTGGTCTACTCACCAAAATTATTGCTTTGGTTTCGTCTTCAAACGCTAGGACGATGTAGTCTCACCACCATCACTAGATACATCAACGTCGGCGTTGACACCGGTGCTTCACCGCCGTACACATGATGTTCATTTAATTAGAGGGAGAAGAAGAGAAAAAAGTGGGTGGTGTTGTGAATAGAATGTCGATCCTGATTGAGCATGAGAACAAGAGTGAATAGCATGGAATGAACAGCACTTTACTTGTCTAAAATTAAACGTACATTAGCTGAAAGTAAAGGCCGAGGCATGGTTACCACCAAACGACATTGTCAATACAAAGCTTAGTCATGACAGGTTGGTGTAGTTCTAGGTCACCGAGGTAGTCTGATTGAATGTTTGTCCGTTGATAGTCGCCTCCACTGGTTTTCAGGCAAGTCTTCCGTGAAAACCAAGTTGGTCTGCCCGACCTATACCCCTCGGCTTCCCCTGTCTAGGCTTGGGCAACCTGGCAGTATTCCAGCCCTCGTACTCCCTTTTGGTGACATGGCAGCTAGGCACCGGGAAAGTATTACAGCTGAGCCGTTTTTTATGCCTGTCATATGGGTCAGACTTTTGAGTTAAAGGCTCAAAGTGGAGTACCTAAACCAAAATCACTTCCCCGGCCTGGGCAACCGGGAAGTATCACTTGCCCGCACAGTTTTTGATGTCCACCGATGTTCCTCCCCAACCCCTTCGCACCACATGCACAAATATCGCTGATTCATTTGACTGTCAGCTACCTGACCGAGGGAACTTATGCTCCTCGCTGCCTATCAACACTGAACAAACTAACATCTAAATCCACGAAATTCTTTCTATAGGAGCTTCTAACGTCCGTACTTTATCTCAAATCAGCACGCAGACAATGCTCACTGAAACTTTATACTCCCTTGACATTGGTGTATGCTGCGTCTCTGAACCCCTCATACAAGACTCAAGCATGGTTATGCATCTCAGAACGCCAAAGATAAAATCAGCTCTTTCACATGTATCCGGTGACGCAGAAGCGATGACTCGTGGGATATATGGCCTGGGAGTTGCACTCCACCCCAGAGCTGAACGTGCTTTGCTGGATTGTATCCCAGTGAACAGTCGTCTCTCCGCCGTCCGATTATCCAGCTCAATGAAGAAGTCTGTATGCAAATGCGTGTATTTGTCGCAGCTTAGGTATTTTGTCTGCCGGGAATGTGAGTGTGCAGGTGGGTAAACTTAGCGCTGCTGAGGTACAATTGGATGGTCGTCTTGGACTTGAATTGCGAACGCCTCCCGCAGTTATGTGCCGACTGTTTCTGTGTGGCGCCGACTTCCGAAACAACCGAAGCCGGTCTGCCTTATGATTCCATTCTCCCGCGTTTGAACCAGCCTCCACCACAGATAGACCACATTCCCATTAGCTACGATGGCATGGGTCTAATACTGACTGTCCCTTTATTTGCGGTTTCGGATCACGCACTTGTTCGTTTATGTTTCTCGCTGGGTTTATGGGGACGCGCAAAATGCGCACACCCTTTCTTGTCGTTGAGAAGTTGTCGGACCCTGATGTGAAACAAGTCTCGTTAGGACCACACGTCTTCTGATGTTGATTCTTACGGGAGGATACTCTCAACAACCCTACAGGATGCTGGGCTCCATTTGTAAAGCGGTTCATCAAACTATATCTAGACGTTTGGTATCCAGCAACATTATAGAATTTCTCGAATCTCGAACACGTGTTTTTTCCTGTGGAAGTCGAGAAGTTTGATAGATTCTGAAGACTGAAAAGATGGAGAAAGTGATAAACTCTGGGAATGCATGTAAACTGTCTCAGCTGATACACGCAACAGACCCGAGTACTTCCCAGTGAACGGAACCATCACCGATAACAACGGCTCGCTTATCCGTGAAATTGAAGAGTGCCTGAATTGCTGGGCTGAACATTTTCAGCAGCAATTCAACTAGCCACCTGCAGTTGTTCAGCCGGATTCCCAACCGGCAAGGCAGCCACGAAAGCCTCCTTACAATGGATTTTCGACATGGATGTGCAATCTCCCCATTTCCGTTTAATTTCGTCGATAGTGAGATAATGATGCAAACATGAGGAGGTCTCTGAAATTCCGGTGTTGAGATTCCTCCGAGCAAGAACCTCGTCGGCCTGGAACATGCAAACGACATGGTTTTAATTTTCGATAAAGTGCAGGAAGCAAGAGGATTACCTAGAAAGCCGACCAAGGTCATCGCGCTTACAAAGTGCAAAGTCATGCCGCAGGACGCAGTCTTTGAGCATGCCTCTGAGAATTCAAGGTCTGACACTGGATGTTGTGGAATGACATGTATATCCAGGAAGTTGCATTGGCTTTGACGGCTGTGGCGAACTGAATGAACGTAAGGATCTCGAAGGCAGAATAGCGTTCGCCAGTTTACATTTCTGGTGGCGTCGAAAAGTCATCCCACGGTCTCAAAGGACGGGTGTATCAGACTACAGCGTGGACTGTGGTCTTGTACTACTGTGCACTTGGTTACTTTGGGTGGAGGATATGAGGTATCAATCAATCAAAAATTCAATTTACCAGCTATTAACTGTGTGCCATAGGCATTGGTTCCATCACCGGAAAATGGGGAAAGTAGAATATAACTCCCAGGTGTGTAGACACAATCTGTTGGAACCGGTGAATTCGCCCTGGGTTAATCAGGAGATACTTTGCTTAAAGACTGTATTCAACACTGCAAGCTAGAGTAGCTCAGTCTTGTGTTGAGCATTTCGATTTATTGCCTATCGAGACGATTGTTGTGTTTCGTGCCTAGTTCGGAGTGACGGGACCGTATAGGCGGACATAGTTTGAGATGGCGAGAGGGAATGAAGGATTTTACCAAAAGTTTGGGCGCCTTTGGTGCTGTTCGTCTTCCAGGACAGTGTTCACGTTACCGTCACCGTGCTTGGCTGGAGACTGAACGATATGGTGGCTGACCGATGTTAGTAGCGCTCATCTGTTAGTTTTATATAATTTGTCATACTGAATGTTTCCGGTGTAGGCAGCTCAAATGTTTGTTGTAGGCTAGCCATAAGTCCCCCGTCTGCCACATTTCTTTCCTCTTTCCGTTGAAGTGCTGTATTTAAATAAGTTAAACAAATTGACGTGGTTGTACGCCAGTAAAGCCCCAGTGTTCTCGTCTGATATTGCTCTCAATTGTGATGGTAATGATGATCATGTTCACGATAACGATAACGCGTCACATCCGAGGCCCACCAAACCAACTGCTCAGCAGTGTCAACAAATAAACATTGTCAGCTGAGTGCCAGTATCTTTTCGATTCTGTCAGATCCATGATAAGCTCCGACGTACCCATCAATGACCATCGATGTGGCCTCATCTGCTTCGAACAATGGTGTCTGCGCAGTTATCTTGAGTTTGTTCCCCGAGAGAAGCCACAAAGTCATTACCCATGCGGCCCGATAGATAACACCGGCCCAGCGCAGTTGCAGCACGATAAAAAGGAAGTTTTAGCTACCGTGTTTGTCGTCAAGACGTTCCAGAAAATGCTGTAAAGCTGTCAACTGAACGATCGGATGCCGGTCTTCGATGTTCGATTCGAAGAATGGGATTCCAATGTACACAACAAACATCATCCAGCGGTGGTTTATTTTGTTTCTGGTATACGACTTCAGGTCGTCCTCATGTCATCCTTGAAATTAATACATTAGTAAACACCGGTGATTAGTTGCCAGGCTGTCACGATTGGTGCTCTAGTTAAGAGTGGAAGGAAAGGGGGAAGGCAGGTACTTCCCTATGGGAAAAGATCAAGGCGCTACACCTTAGAGTAACCTCATGGGATGCATCTAGGCGTCATATCGAAACAAGAAATCGAAGAGATTGACCCAAAATCCTTTGCTGACCTCACTCGACACAACCCGGCCATATGGCAAACAGACTTTAGCTAGATAGTCCGACTGGGAAATGACAGGTTGCTCACCAGTGGGACCAGTTACTCGCCATGTTTTGTAGGGTTTCTGACCAGTACAAGGAGAGCCAAGCGGACCCAAAGTAGTAAACGCGCATACATTCATCTACTAGTCCACCAATATCCTCAGAGAAACTAACGCACTGTCGCTTCTCATTGATTCAAGCAAGCCAGAGCCGGAAGATGCCTCGGAGGCATAAGTGAACCAGTTAGTGTCGGAGGCAGTTCGCCCTTTTCCAGTGACAACTCAATTCAATTTATCGGCTACAAACCGTGGTTTCAGCTGCTACAGTTTTAATCTCCAGAGAGTGGGAAAACGTGGCACGTAGCCAGGAATTAAAGATGTTGGTGTGTATAGTTGGTTCGGGAATTGGATAGCTACAAATTGAAAGCGATAGCTGTGGTGCATGAGCACCACTGGCTGCGTGATTGTGCCATTTCTGCCAGTGTCTTTGACCACTGGTGGGTTGAGTTTCGGGATCCCCGTCCAGGGAGGTGACAGTTTTCGACCCGTCTTCGTTGACTTGATATTGTTTTCATATTTCATAGCCAGGTCATACACTTTTCACCTCTCATCGTTTCCACTCAGCACATGGCTAGACGAAAGGAGCTGGGCGAGGCAGACAGTCTTCTGTCATACGGAGTACTTACTCTAATCAGTGTAACCTGTGAAGCGTGAGTAATACATCTTTCGCGGAAGACTTCCTTCTCCCTAAGACCATCTGACGTACCTTACATTAACAGCTGATAGGAGTTCGAGATAGCCCATTGATTAAGACCATGTTCACCATGTTCATCGGGGGCCTTTAGTTTTTTCTATTTTGCTCTAGATCAACGCCATACGTATAAGCGACTGACAGTTATGGTATTCCTGGATTTTCAAGGTGCATTTGAATCGGTTGACTGGTCTGTTCTTCTTGATACGCTCGTCCACCAAGGAATACCCTGGAAGTGTTTGAACGTAATAAGCTCAGAATTTCGGACTTGTGAGAGTACACGGGGAGCTCTCAAAGTACTTCCGTACACAAAGCGGTGTCCGTCAGGGATGCTCGTTTCCATTCCACTTCGTGATTGATGAAATCATTCAACGAAAGCTTGAAGGTCTCCAAGACCTCGGTATGTAAATAGCCTCTGACAAAAGCCTTGTTGATCTGGAATATGCCTAGGTGACATCGTTTTCTTCTTAGAAGAGGAGAAGGCACATGTTCTTTTGGATGAACTAACCAAAGACACCTTGCACCCGCAAAGTGTAAGGTCATGCTGATGGACATGCAGTCACCGAACACGCCACTGATACTCCAGGGAGAGGCACTCGAATTTGTGGTTTTCCGTACGTTTTAATTGTGATGTGACACATGAGGTCAATGCACGAATCTGCAAGGATCGGGTCGCGTTTGCTAATTTGAGACACCTATGGCGTCAAATCGTTATATCCCTGGATTTCAAGGGATGAGTGTGTCGGTCTATAATACGGGCTGTTTTGTTGTACGGTCGTGAGACTTGGACTTTTCGAGTAGCGGGACTGAGACGCTTTCAGGTGTTCGACAATCGTTGCCTCAGAACCATAGATCGTGTGGGTTTATGCCGGCGTATCCGTAACGAGGAAGTGTGTTTTCGGTTGTGCAGTGGATATGTCCACTGAAGAGTGTATCCAGCACCAGAAGCTGCGTCGGTTGGGACATCTGTTGCGTATGCTGAGCCATTGCTTGCCGAAAAGAGTGCTGTTTTCCATGCCCAATTCAGTGGTGGATGCAGAGAGGTGGCCGACCCGTGACTTGGCAGAGGGGTTTGAAAGAAATCACTAAATGTTTGGGAGCTGCCGTTGCTACTCGCCTTCCAGGATGGGGGCCGCGTGATCCTCACTGCGGCTGGTTGGAGGCGCTGCAAGATATGGCTGCCAAGCGTTGTCAGTGGTGATCTTGTAGTTAGTTCCTATCCAGATCGCCTGAGTGAGTGTTTGGAGATGTAGGCATTTCAGAATGATTGTAGTAAGCTAGCACCAAATCAGTGAAGAAGGAAAAGATAGGCGTCAGTAGCAACCTGTTTTAGCTTGTGAGCGCTGCTGTATGCAGCAACCAAGGCAACCCATCTCATGGCACCACGCGTGGCATGAGATCATCTGCAACTGTAATTCCATTGAACCTGGGTTAGAATGCTGCCAGGGCTCCCATGCCCCGATTAGCATCCTCAGCCAAAATCTTCGGCTCAAAAGCCCAACTTCAAGGCAGTGGTCGTTGGCGTAAGACTACCACAACAGTCTATATTGTCGAGCAGCGAGTCGCCACACATGTTCCAACCCCATTCCGAAGAACCAGAATATTGCGTTAGTCAGAACCCTGTCCATTGACCTACCTGGCGTGAGAGGTTATGTGAGTGTCACACGTGTTCTCTCAGTGGGTTCAATAGATGTGAGTCTAGCCGCTGTCTTCGTGACTAATCCAGTCTCTTCGGTTGAGTGCAGCCGCGTTCACCGAAGCCCAAGCATGAATTTATGATTGGCGTTCACCGTACGGTTGATGTGCACGTGGTCATCGCTAATCGTCTTTTTGAAACGGTCAAGTGCACGATGTATTTGTATGATTTTGCCGTCACTGCTGGAGTGTATTGTAACTCGGTACAAAACATTGTTCCAAAAGGGGGAACAATAATCTTATTCTACGGGCAATTCCCAGGCAATTTAATTCCGTGACTGGCTTACATTTTCCATTCAGAAGCCCACCGAAATGGCCTGAACATTATAGAGGTGGAGATTTCTGAGTGTCTAAGACGTGAGCTACGGATGGGGAACCGTTTTTGAACTTTAGTTATGATCGTTCTATCGGTTATCGCATTTATCGAGGGAGTTATTGTTTAAATTTGATTATTTCGCTCCACACTTTGCGTACATGTGTACTTCGTTTTCAGTGACTGTGTTATCATGCACCAGTGTTGATGGAAGAACATTCTTTCTTCGAACAGTTGCCTCCTTCAAAGCGGCATGAAGTTGAGGTTCGTTTTAACATTGCGTTTGTCATTTCTCAACAGTCGCAACTAGATATATTGAACCAGACTGCTCCACAAATCAATCAACTCGAGAACAATTTGCTGGTAAGCTGTCCTGCAAGTCTTTTCACGTTTGGTTGTGCAGTCTACTATATGCACTCACACGTAGCGGTATCTCTTACGACAATTTCTCTAGATAACCTGTTCACCATTGTATTCACGCAATCCGGTGCATCACTTCACCAATCAGAGGCAATCCCTTGGTACTTCTTCCTGTTATCCGAAGTACAGGAGTCGACGAAAGGCGGATACTCCACCGCCTCCGCTTTTCCGTTGAGGGTATCGTGGCCTATTGAACAGTTCAGTATTTGCGTCACAGAAAAGTGCCTAGTGATTAAGCCGAGTGGATCTAACAAAATCACACCCAGCCCCCATACTTTAGACACTTCTGCTGAATTCATCCTCGATCTCCCAAACTTGATAGTTGTCATCTTTCCGAGTTTCTTTACTGGGTAAAATAGCTACCCTCGCATTAATTGCATACAACATTCATGAACCTCACTCAGTACGGACTGATTTACTTCGTATTCATCTGCATCAGTGTCATCTGTAAAAGGGACTATTTCTCTTGAATTTTTCGTAAGTGGAGGTCTCACCAACAATAGGAGTAGGCAACCAACTTTATACTAATGCAGCAAATCACTCATTTCTTCTACTTGCATGGATGTAACTGGTATCATATTCACGTAAATCGGTGTTATGTTTTCTCATCCTGTCGTTGCTGTTCCCTGTTGTGCAACAAAGCACTTTTCTAGTCCTCCTGGATTTCAGGTGTAGAGACGGGGTGGTACGAACTTTCAGAGTTAGCACCTACTTTAATTTGGATTTATTCTTAATCTGGTTGCATGCTGCACGCATCAACCTTCTTTTGCCTCTCTGACACGGTGACTCCTCTATCATACCTCCTACTTGGAGGTTACGTGGAGGGATCGGATAACAGGTCAGGGTCATCTTTTTATCGGTTTGGTTATTTTGCGACCTTCTCTTGATATGCGTACTTGTTTGAAGCGTGGGGACTGCGCATAATTCTCAAAATGAGTCGAATGATTTATTCATCCAAGAGGCCAGATGCAAGGCCATCTGATAAACCTCGTTTATATGCGATAATTTGCTACTTTTAGTTTAAACCACCCAACTATGTCTTACATAGATCATCATTATCAAAGACAGCAACATCACCATTGACAAGGATGCCTCACTTCCGTCGTATCTTACGTTTATACCGTTGTAGGCTGAACGATGATTATCGTGTTCCAACCACACGACCCTCATCGCATATGTGCCCTTCATATGGCAATGCAAATTTGTCCATTTTCTTTCGGAGAGCTGTAAATGAAACAAGGTGTCTCTTTGGTGCAGATTCTTTCTTCTAGGTTTGGTGACCCTATGCTTAAAACCAGTAAGATGCTCAGGGTAAAATAAAATGGCCTGATTAATGGTTTCCCCACTGTACCACAATAAACGAGCATGGGCACAGGCATTCATGGTAAGGCTGACCAAGAAAGCCATTTTCAACACCAACTCCGTTGTGAAAACCACCTATAAAACTATTAATTCTTCATGCAGCTGTTGCTCGACGAGAGTTATGTCCTCATCGTATCCTAATTGAAGAGTCAGCGCTGGCACTTAGCTACAGATTGGTACTTCTTGTCTTGGGAAAACAAAGTTTGTCCTACATAAGTTTGTAGGCCAGTCCGCTGAGGCAGCCGGAGACAAAATATGCATACTTGGAGTTCGACATCTCGGCTTTACGTACCAGGTGTGCTGCCTCCAGGACTGGGCACCAGCTACTCATTTCTTTCGGGACAGCGTTTTTGTGGAAAAATAAGACGATGGTTTCATCTTTCGAAGTTTTGGCTTCTCATGGGAATACTTCTAGTGGTTACAATGGAGGAGGTTGCTCTAGTAGGAACATTTTCCGTTTTCGTCCCAGAATTGACTTCGGTGTGGTGGATTATCTCAGATTTAGTCACACCTCACATTTCGTCAGAATTTGATAGTTCTTTTGGCTGCAGTAAGCTTTCGTTTTTTGCCATGTTTTTCTGGATTGACTCACAATCCAACAACAAATGAGCCGAAAAGGGTGAATACGGTTTAATCCTACATGGAATGTGCTTGTGTGCACATGGCTGTTGTAAAGGTCAACCGTTTTGATCGGAATATACTATGTCAACCTTCATCACAGTGAAGCTCACTTTTCCTTCGGTTTCTTTTGAAGGCTGCTAGAGCAACCTATCAGAACACTCTAACAGAACATTCGAGTCGCCTGAATGCCATCGGAAAGCGGCTTGGTAAATGTGTTCAACGTGCCAGACCATATTACGACGCAAAAGCAAAACAAGCTGAACTAACTCGGGAAATCCAACGGGCGACTGAGCGATACAACAGGGCAAATGATCTACTGACAGCTTCCTGTCAGGCCCTTTCCAAGTTGGAAAATGCCACACCCACCGGGACACGACAGGTTGGAGATGTGGTCAGTTTGGAAGCGCTCAATCAGTGCATTTTCAAAGTAAGTTATTCTCCTAGTTTAGTACATATGCTTTTGTTAAGCAAGGATGGAAGCCTTCTGTACAGCTTGGTCAATTGCTGCTTGCTACGTTGGTGAAACTTCTTACTGAGTCACCTGTTTACATGAGGCGTTTTTTCTGTTGTATTTTTGTTCCGTTTGCAAGTAAAGCGTTTCTTACTTTTACCTTTGACTATAATAGCAGTGCGCGGTTTAGACTACCTTCATACAGCACTTGGAAACGTTTTATTTGTACACAAGTTAAGCTGTGCAAATGTGTGCGGAGCGGTAGAAGTGACGATTAAGTCCGAGTTAGTCTGGTTTGTAATATTCCAAGTGGTTCGACAGCACGTTGATTTGACTACACACTCTGAAGACAAGTTCATCACACACAAGTTCATCATCACAGAGCAGCCCATCTACGATGATCACTTCGCTTTTTGTCCGGTTTCCGTAGTACAATCCATCGACTTTCCCGTTTTAGCAAGGACACGGTGACGAACACTAATATTTTAGAGATCTTGTCGTCAGATCAGCACATATCTAATGGTGTAAATAAGGATTTGAACAGTTAAGCTTCGTCACTAAATGAAACAAACTACGGAAACATGGACGATAAGTTATCAGTGAAACCTATGCCATATCTGACTGGACGCGGTGGAGTGCTCTCGGGGGTCGTTGGGTATCTTGGTCGATCGAGTCGTGTCACATGACCAAGCCAGACTCAGAACTCGTACGGATTATTTTTGACAGCATTGTACCGGGTTTCACGGTCATATTGCGACTGTTTCTGTCCTAATCATCTTCACTGGCTACACGACTCTTCCTCAAATGAATTAGTTACATATATATGTATATACATGTATGTTTGTATGCATTCAATCATGATCATACTTCATCTGTGCAACCTGTTTATCCTTGACAACCAAAACGTTTAGTCCTGAGCAGCTCCCAGCGGATGTGGTTGCACGATATTGTTGGGGGAAGTGAGGTGATTGATGGATGATACCGCTGACTCGTTGTTTGGTGCAGTACCAGTGCTCATCCTATTTAGGCCGGATGCCGAGTCTCAGTAGGCCTCCCTGAGTTTTCCCGGTGATCTTACTTTTTCGTGCGTACATCGAATAAGCGAATTCACCGATAGTAGCATGTCCCCGCAAAATGTTTGTGTTGGCATAGATGTGTGGAGACGTCCAGCGAATAAACCACTGTTGACAGGTGTATACGTATCGGATACCAGACAAACACATATTTAATCACGAAAGCCCATGTTGTACCATTTTGGACAGGTTTCTCTAGGTTTCTACCCAGGAAGTCCCAATGAACTAGTCCACTGAACGAGTGGCGATTGCGTTCTCACGTTTGCGCAACACAGTCTCCAGTATGTCCTCCAATTCGCCTTGTCGCAAACGGAGCACAACGGATTGGCCGATGACCTGGCGTTCTTAGCACGTCTCAACAAAGTCGGTGAGACGTCGGAATCTAACCAAGATTGCAGGGGTTCTGTCTAGAACTAAGTGATCGGTGACATATATGGTCATTTCCTACACACCGTTTCCACCAGACGTGAAAGATATTCCACAAGCAGCGGCGACAGAAAACTGTTAACTTCTCACTGCCTCCAACAAACAGAATCCATGCCTCAAACACACAGAATCCATGCCTCAAATCTATACAGAAGCGTCGTATATACGTATTTTCGTGCCTTGAGATCGCCAACGATGACGGGGTTTTCATTGGTGCTCCGGAAATCTTGGTAACATGGTGACTCATTTCATTTATGGTGCTTATTGCGTTGAAACGGCTACCTAGGTATAGGGGGTTGCCCGCCAAATTGAGTTTGTTCCCGTCTGGGATGATGATAGACGCTTGACTTGTCCAGTTCGATGTCTCCACTTTGCCGATCAGCGAATAGTAAGTGTTATCGGTATTTGGAGAGCTCAGAAATAGCAAAAGGAGGGTGATCATCACCGTTACATTTGGAACTTCGTTTGATACTGGCAGCAGATTAAGCTGAAATTTCGCCTGAATCTTTCTCTTTCGGTATTCTTCAACTGAATGTTGCGCAGACACTGGCTTCGGTTTCTTTTGGAACGATTTTCAGTATCTTGAATTATGGTTCTTTGGATGAAAACTCCGGACAGGTGATTGGAGTTTCCTTAACATCGGTTTAGTCGGAACCATTCCAGGAAATAAATCGACAGAAAATTTCCGGTCTACAAACCTTCACACACGTACCATATCAATCGAATAAAATGTTGAATTTGTGGTGCGTCGATTTTGAAAAGTATTTGGAATCAATTCAGTCGATGTAGATGCAGTATGCGATTGTTTCACGGGCAAACATCTTCCCCTGATTCTCGTTTCGTAAGCTGGATATTTTTAACGTCTGGCTATTTGTCACAGTGTCTGTCTTTTCCTCTCCTATGGACACGGAATCCGTCAACTGTTGTGATACTGCATCAATTGTGAAACCAGGGATGTGAACATACTAGAAGGTGTCTACAAAACTAGTCATTTCTGGGTTCCGCATGCGACAAAACTAAGCACCTTAGTGGTTATTTCAAGCACTTTGGATGATACATGCTTTTTGGGAAACTTATTTCACTTTCATGCTACACAAACAAACAGATACCTTTACCGACTTTCCGCACACCAGTTGAAATAGCCTATTGTGTGTTCAGTGTGTCTGTGGTGTGTGTTTAGTACAATCTTCCCATTTTTGAGACAATGCTCCTTCTGCGATTGGATACGGTTGTAAGCAGGCATGAATTTGTCTTTTGGTGATTGTTTTGAGTCCTGAACACGTGCTTTAGTATGACTGGTGTTCCACCACTACATGCCATACCAAACACGCTCACGCCCATCTATGTTTCTGTGGACAGTTGTCGCACTGAATTTGCCTTCAATAGCTAGTAAGAGTATAAACCTTTTTTGACTTCGCCATACTTTGTGTAATAATCTATTCCCATTAACGAGCGACATTTGGATATATCATTCGAATCATTCTTCACTCAGCCAGCTGTAATTCTCGGTACAATCTAATCGGGACACTTGTGGTAGTGTTCTCTTAAAAGAATGCTACTAGAACGCCACTTGGTGAGGTCTTTGCGGATTGATTACAAATGATCTCACTTTATCGCCTTTTATTGGATTCGATGGGTTTCAGGTGACGTAAAGGTCACCGACTGGAAAACGTTGTTCTTACAAACCTTAGACGAACTAGCTTGCGTTTTTCTCATATTTCATTTGGTTCCGATTACCATACTCATAATTCCTGTTAGAAAAGCTTCAATAATCCTTCACTGTTCGACTCGTTGCAACATTGCAACAAGCTTGAATGATCCCACTTTCTCTTCTCCACCTGACTCCGGTTCCACGCCGTTTCTTAACTTTTACGCTCACCATACGGATTAACTTGTACGGTACTCCGGCGACTTAGATATTTTTCTCCTAATTTTTATATTCCATCCTTTTGGGATTTTACTTAATGAACTACCGTTCAGCAGTATCACCATTTCAGTGCATGACTGCCGTACCATCCGAAAGAAGCACGAGTGTTAGGTAACTGCCAGGTCGCTCAAGCCTAGACTGGGGAAGTCGAGGGGCAGAGGTCGGGACCTTCCGATCAGTAAATTCTTGCTCTAACCGCTGTGAATGATCGTACCCTCTAACCCCGAGAAATATGTGAGGGCATGTTTTGTTGATGAATCGACCGGCGACCATTCACCTTTCAATGATGAAATGGTTATAGTGTTATACGAATAGTATATGGTCGTATGTTACGGTCTTGTACCGGCCTGTGTTTGCTTGCGTGCATCAGTCGGCCCCTAGGGTGTCCTTGATGGAGCGGAAGAGGATGCTAGTAACTCCACAGACGTGACAGTTTAAGAGTTCCATATTTGCTCGCGCCGCCCGTGTTCCACGGCAGTATTAGTAAGGAATTACATTGTCTTGGTGGATATAAGCACTATCAAGTCCGTCTAGAATACACGTGGCAGCGTGTGTAGACAGAATTAGATGAAGTTAAATGAGACGCTGAGAAACATCAGACAGCCAATTCACTGTATCAGGGAATGATATGATTAGTTGCGTAAGATAGAGAACATTAGTGTTTGGTTGTTGTGAATAACATGAAACTGTGAAAATTGGAGTAGGTCTCGCACGGACAATAAATGACAATGTCTAAGCTCACCACACAATGGGGAATCATCACGTCACGAGCAAGAATGATACAATGACAAAATGTTTGATGACCAACCGACCGAAATAACGCTCCTATTATCACTCTAAATGTGGCGCAAAACTTCTGGTTGGTTGCGTCTTTAGGAGTGTACACATTCTGTCTCTATACGTTTTTTCGTAGCTTTCTGAAAGCGCGTACTCTACCCACTGCGTCAGCACAGTTCGTTCTTTTGCACTGTCTATCTCAGAGTGAGTGGCGTCATCCCTTTAAAAAACAAGAGTGACTTGATTAGATCGGTTCAATCTTGAGAACGCTTTCCAAGTAGGCTTTTTATACTGTTGTCTGGGAAGCTCCGCAATCCAACTCACACGAACTTCGCAGTGAGATAGCGGCCTCTTTCTGAACCAAGCTATGAAGTTAATGTTTTACGAACAGGAAGAGCTGTTTGTAGAGTAACTTGGACTCGTAGTATTTGTACTTTCCAGCTTATGCCCCGCTTCTCTAATCTCAACAAGTCCGCTGAATTTTCTGTGAAAGAATAACTGTTTTGGATTCTGTGAAGGATCGGTCGTGTTTCTAAAAACACCCATGATTTACCCGAATAACACTATCTAGTCAGTATAAACGACCTACTGCGGGAATGGCTGTTGGAGCTTCCTGGGCAACGGTTATCAGGTGATGCCGTTCTCTACATGAGTACACCTATCACTTATGGGTTAGGTTGTCTTGCGCAGTCCGTTAACTAGTCTTGTACTTCACCACCTCGCTTGTTTCGCGCCATTGATTGCGTCATTTTGATGGCTGAACTACCATTTCA